TTTGGTTATGAAGGTGAGGATTCAATTCATCTATCTTTTTGTTAGGGGAAAATCCAAGTTGATTTAGGCGTATGTGAATTTGGGAATGTGGTTTAATTAAGCAAAATGTAAGAATGCTGGATTTTATATATGATTAAAGGATGATGAGCACGTTTCATGTGGCCATTATGTGTGACTAATGGCGGTGTTTTTGGGATTGCAGTGATTAAAATGGGGCATTTTGTAGATAAAGTTTCATGTGAGTCCACTTTCAGAGAATGGTTTAGGGTTAGAGGGCGCTTATGAGTGATCGATAACTTGTTTGATGTTGGTTCAGTGTGTAAGGGAGTGTCTGAGTGAGCTTACAATAATGATTCTATGCTGAGCACAAAATGGGGTTGAAATAGAGAGAAGATGAAAAGGTAAAGGAGCTTAAGGACTTGCATTCTCTGATGTTTGTTCAAATTAGGACTGGTTTTTGAAGGGGTTGTTTTGTTAGTACAAAGTTTTAAAGAACTCAAAAACTCAAATGTAGTAAAAAGGGGGAAAGACCTTGTTAACATCAGGATGCTTGTACATTTTTGGCTGAATGCTATAGTCATCTAATCAAAACTATAGGCATTACGTATCTGTAGAAGGCTATTAGATAGCTCATCTTTGTTAAAGTGCACTTTAGTTATAATGTTTCTATTATTTCCTTCATTTTAAAACAAATTCTTGTTTAGGAGCAAGCTACACTTAGATTGTCATTGACAGGAAAGGAAAATTTCTCCTTTTACTGACTATTTGCCTGTTGAGCAGGGGGTTGGGATAGACTTGTTTGATACTGGGAAATCATATAGTCTTGTTAGTGGTGAGGATGCGGCAAAGAATTCAGAGAACAAGGAAAACGCAAGGTACTTCATCCTATGGACTCCAAGTTAGCCCAGTGAGACAGTGACTTTTTCCATTGAAAATGAGTCCCGCATACAGACAATCTTCTTCTATTTTTGACTAAGAAAATTGCAATGCTGATCCAGATACTGCATGGAAGATTCAATGAGCCCTTCCAAGGTGAAAGGAAAGCTTGTTCTATGCAAGCTACAGGACTGGGGTGTTGATTCAGTGGTGAAAGGAAATGGGGGCGCTGGTGCTATCGTCACAAGTTCAAGGTTTCTTGATGTTGCTATGATATTCATGGCACCAGGAACCATAGTTAATTATACTGTTGGTGAAAAGATTTATGACTACATCCATAAATCAAGGTATATAATATCTATCTTATCAAGACAGCTAACTTTGGGGTAACTTAATGGAAATAAATTAATGGAAGTAAATTATTGATTTTCTTGTGTGTTATGGCAGTTCACCGACGGCAACCATATACAGATCCCAGGAGGTAAATATTTCAGCTCCATTTATCGGTTCATTCTCATCTCGAGGTCCAAATCCAGGATCTTTACGACTTCTTAAGGTACATGTTAACATCAATCACTTCTGTGTTATTCTGGTAAACTGATAATGATCTGCAATTTGACATTTTAACCCGTATTTATTCACATATAGCCGGATATTGCTGCTCCTGGAGTTGACATTTTGGCAGCTTATACCCCCTTGAAGTCATTAACTGGACTAAAAGGTGACAACCAACATTCAAAATTCAGTCTCATGTCTGGAACATCCATGGCATGTCCCCATGTTGCTGGGGTTGCTGCCTATGTCAAGTCATTTCATCCAAATTGGTCACCTGCTGCCATTAGGTCTGCCATCATTACTACTGGTATGAAGGGCAAGTTAACTCTTCAGTGGTTTATACTTTTTTTGGGCTTAATGCTTGAGTCATGAATTTGGCTAAATCTTCTCTTTTTAACAGCGAGGCCTATGAGCTCAAGGTTAAATAAAGATGCTGAATTTGCTTATGGTGCTGGTCAAGTGAATCCACTCAAAGCAAGGAGTCCTGGCTTAGTGTATGATATGGATGAAATGCCTTACATCCAGTTTCTGTGCAAGGAGGGATATAGTGGGGCTTCTTTGTCTGTTCTCGTTGGTTCAAAATCCATCAATTGTTCTGCTTTGCTTCCCGCATTCGGCCATGATTCTCTCAATTATCCTACGATGCAGCTGAACTTGAAGAACAAGCAAGAGCCAGTAATGACAGTGTTTCGCAGAAGAGTTACTAATGTGGGTCCCTCAAATTCAGTCTACAACTCCATTATAAGAGCCCCCAAAGGTGTGAATATTACTGTGAAACCTACAAGTCTATCATTTTCTCGTGCCTTGGAGGTGCGGAGTTTTAAGGTTGTGGTGAAGGCAAATCCCCTTTCAGGTGCAAAAATCTTATCAGCTTCTCTCATTTGGAAAAGCTCCCGTCATGTTGTTAGGTGTCCAATTGTCATTTATAAAACATAGAAGTATATATTTAGATGTATGAGAACAAAGAAGAGAGGTGATACCTTTAATTATTTGTTAGTAACCAATAGGATGTATGTTATAGGCTTGTATATAACAGAGGACTCATAATGGAATAAATTATGCTGACTGGATCTGTCCTTCAATTCTGAAAGTAGTTTCTATTACCCGTGTAAAGGTTTTTCAGAATATCCTTGCTTGACACTTGTACTATGTACAGTATATGTTTTTGCATTCGCTGATCAAGCATGTTTTCCTTTGTAATTGCAATGCTCTAAATGGAGATTAAAATTATGTCAGGGATCAAATTAACTGACTGTTTTGCATAGTTACTGACTGTTTTGAGTGGTTGGAAAAGCGCGGATTCTTGTTGAAAAAGGTTTCTGCTTTCAGTGTCAGATTGTAAGTAACCCCCTTGTAAGGCAGCTTTGTTGCATTCAGAAACCACCAGTAGTCCAGTATGTTCAGGACTCCAGGATGAGTCATGTGGCAAGGAAAATCCTTAATACTCATGCTGCATTAAGTAATAAAAACTGTCATCTCTGTTACATACTCACTTTCTGAAAGGGAGAAGGTCGGATGTTCAGACTCCAGCAGAAATTTCAATAACTGTCAGAGACTGAAAGACAGGTTTGCAACTGCATGACTCTTGTTCTCTTGCAGTGTTTATATAAGACTTGACTGCCTGAGTATTAGATCATGATCGTATGACTTAACAAAAATTAAGGTCCATCGCGTGAGTCTAGGATTTTTTCTAATAGTACACCAAGAAAGTAATTTGACATATAGAAAAAATGTATGTAATATTACAGAATTTCCTAATTGTACTTCCAGAAAGTGATTGAGGACTAATTATTGCTATGAACAATGTTTAATACAACTGATTTTTATTAAGTCATTTGTACTGTGCTATTTGAATGCAGGGACATTAATTTTGAAGTTGAGAGAATGTTAGCAAGAGTAACGTGTACTACTTCAATAAAAACCACGTTTTTTTTGTTTTGTTGTCCTATTTTTTTAATATTTTTTTCCTGCTGTTTTGAGAACAAAGCATTGCTGATCAGTAAAGTTCAGCAACAGAGTAGTGTTTGCTCAGTAGAGTTATTAATAAAACCCCAAAGTCAGATATGATCAAATGATGAATCGTTGAATTTGTGAATTGAACTACTATAGATTGGAACTCTGATTTTTTTTAATTATTTTTTTAATCATAATACAGTACCCACCAACATTAATCATGAATCAAACTTGTTTCTTCAGGAAAAAGCAAATTATGCCAAATATCAGGCATTTCTCAGCCTGACTCAATGATGAGAGCTAACCAGACTTCAAAGTAAAGTATGTGTATTTAACTCACTTGATTAATTATGTTTCCTCATCTCGAGCACTTGTAGTCTCTTAACATGCTGGCGTATTATGTCCATACCTATGAAGTTTATATTGCTAGAAGCATCCATGAGACGACAGCATTTCGTTACTAGAATGTGATCAGTTGGAGTTTTAACAAAGAACTGATATTATTGACTAAGTATTAATAATTGAAAAGGTGAGACAGTATGATTTTACTTAGTTACAGACAATTATGGGGTTGAGTTATATTTTTGTGCTTCAAATTGAAATTTTGATGTTGTCAGGCTTCACATGCATTTTTGCATGGTTGGTGAAAAACCATCATGCTACTTTTTTCTACATGCCCATCCTTGTATTTCCTTAGGTAAGACTCAAAGGAAGTTATTTCATAATGATCCTTTTTGTATCATACTATCATTGTGGAGTAACTATCTAGCATGCTTTTCATCAATTAGTTCATCAATTTTGTAATCCTTTTCCTATCTTAAGAAAGTAGCACTTAACTTTTCACTCTTTCTCTTCATGAGCTGCACGTTCATACGTTACTTGTCTACCGACTCAATCCTCACTGAAATATGACATTGTACAAACTAGTAGCTCAACGTGACATGGAAATAAGCTCCTTAAAAATTAGAAGTCCAGAGATGGATGTCAAATTGTTCATACCAGAGTGTCAACTGTCAAGGATCAAAGACAAATACTTGAGGTGAAACGAAGAGTTTAATATAGATAAGAACTTGTTAATTAGCGTTAGAAGTTTCCCTTCATATTTTTTTGGGATGGATGTGTGTGAGTGTGTCTAAAATAAGTGAGCTACTTACCTTATCTGTTTTAGGATTTTGCTTATGATAGCTGAGGGTGGTCTTATACTTATATGCCGAGCAATTATTACCATGGCGACATGGCCTCATTGAAAGAGTACTCTATATTCAGTAATTCCTTTTTTTCCTACTAGGATCAAGTGAATCTTACTCAGTTTAATAGTTTTTGGATCCATGATGAACTGCAAATTTTGACTGATTTCACCTTATCAAATACATCTCACTACTCTTACTAAACAATCTGTTGATTAGTAGATTACCTCGAGTGCTTAATTATAATTTTATGTCAGTTTGGTAAACTTTTCCGAATGAGGCAGCTAGGCCATAACATTAGCTTACAAAATAATCACATCTCTTACATAAAAAGGAATTCATCATCATTACATAGCATTAAATGTAAATAAAGATCTGTAGTGCCGTTTTCTCTAAGTGTATGGCTTGCTTATATAAAGAATCCCATTTCGAGAAGTTATGCACCATCCTCTTTTTCATTTACTTGTGGTGGGTGCAGAAAGATAGGTAACTTCTGCCTCTGCTCAAAAATAATATCTTCATGAATGTTGCTACCTTTTTTGTTTGTGTCGAGTTTGATCCTATGCGATCAGTATCTTTCTACATAGTATCTTGGATTAGTTTCTTCTAGCATAGGAATGTTTTATCTGTCACCAGTTCTGTTAAGTTTAGTGCAAATGCTGATATATTTTGTAGTTATCAAAATCTATATATAGTTTGCCTATTCTCCAAATTTTGCCATTTCTTTTTCACAGTTTCAAATAACTGTTAGTTCTATACATTTAACTTCATAATTCTAAGTTAATCTTAACTTTGTCATGCTTTGCTCAATACTTTGGATTATCAAGAAATAATTGCTTACTAAATTGTTGCAGTTGCAGGTGCAACCATCAATATGGTACCAATGAGGATGGTGTGCCAGATAATTCTATTGGGTCTGGTAGCAGCAACGACATTTGCATTTGCTGACAGAACAACGTACATAGTTCACACTGAGGATTCTAAAATCGTTGAGCTGCAGAGTTTGAACAAGCAACCCCGAGAATGGTATGAAACAATTCTTAATTCTGTTATCAAACCAGCAGCCCAAGATGATGGAGATGAAGAATCATTGGCCCCTGAGCTTCTTTACACCTATGAGACTACCATGACCGGTTTTGCTGCTAAGCTTACCACAAAACAATATCAATCCTTAACTGATATTGACGGGGTACTTTCTGTTGCTCCTGATGTGATGCTAGATCTCCACACCACATATTCCACCCATTTTCTTGGCCTTGAATTTGGCCGAGGTTTATGGAATTATTCTAGCTTGGCATCAGATGTTATAGTAGGTGTTCTTGACACAGGAATTTGGCCAGAACATATCAGTTTTCATGATAGAGGAGTTAATCAGGTTCCTGCAAGATGGAAAGGCACTTGTGAAAAAGGTGCAAACTTTTCAGCTTCACACTGCAATAAGAAGCTTATAGGTGCCAGGTATTTCCTTAAAGGATATGAGGCTATTAATGGAAGAATCAATGGAACAGATGACTTCCGGTCTGCCAGGGACTCCAATGGCCATGGGACTCACACTGCATCCACAGCTGCAGGAAATATAGTTCCTGGAGCTAGCCTCTTTGGCATGGCCAACGGTGTTGCCAGTGGAATGAGGTACTAACAGCTTGATGATATGTTTCACTAGATAAAAAACAGTTTAAACAGTTTCATGTGATTCAAGCCATATGCAATTTTTTTTTTTCATTCAATTCTTTTTTTTTTTTTTGGTTAATAGTTCATTTATTTCACTGTCACTTCTATTAAAATTGACTGTTTGCACATTTTTTAACAGGTTTACATCAAGAGTAGCTGCATATAAGGTCTGCTGGGACAGGGGCTGTGCTAGCTCTGATATATTAGCTGCTATAGACCAAGCAGTAGCTGATGGTGTTGATGTTCTTTCTCTGTCCCTTGGAGGATTACCAAGGCCTTATTACCAGGACAGCATGGCAATAGCGGCTTTTGGAGCCATGGAAAAGGGAGTTTTCTTTTCATGTTCTGCAGGAAATTCTGGCCCAATCCCTTCATCTGTTGGCAACATGGCACCATGGATGACGACTGTTGCAGCTAGCTACACTGACCGAATCTTCCCTACTAAAGTTAGGCTAAGTAATGGCAAAGCTTTCAAGGGTTCATCTCTTTATTCTGGTGCAAAGAAGACTAAGCAGCTCCCAATTGTGTACAAAGAAACAGCTGGAGGCAACAGGGCTGAGTTCTGCATCAATGGATCCTTATCTTCCAGCCTTGTGAAAGGCAAGATCGTCCTCTGTGACCGTGGTCTAAACGGAAGAACTGAGAAGGGATTTGTGGTAAAATCAGCAGGAGGAGCTGGGATGATACTGCTTAATAGTCCCATTCAAGGGGAAGAGCTTTTTGCTGACCCTCATGTTTTGCCAGCTACCACAGTAGGCTCTACAGCTGCTAAGGCCATCAAGGGATACTATGCTCAAAACAAAAACTTAACAGGTTCAATCTCATTTTATGGAACGAGATATGGAGCACGAGCCCCTGTAGTGGCCGCTTTCGCATCTCGAGGCCCAAGCCTTGTGGATCCCTATGTTGTCAAGCCTGACATAACTGCCCCTGGGGTGAACATTTTGGCTGCTTGGCCTCCAATTATTTCACCGACTGAGCTAAAAAATGATAACAGAAGGGTGCAGTTCAATGTAGTCTCAGGTACTTCCATGTCTTGCCCTCACCTTAGTGGTATAGCTGCATTAGTAAAATCAGTCCATAAAGATTGGTCACCAGCTGCAATAAAATCAGCCATCATGACATCTGCTTATACTCATGACAACAAAGAGCATCTCATTTCTGATGCATTTGTATCTAAAAGTACCAAATTCGCGACCCCTTTTTCATTTGGGTCAGGTCATGTGAACCCCGAAGGAGCTTCTGATCCGGGGCTAGTATATGACATCAGTGCAGAAGACTACTTGCACTATCTATGCAGTATCAATTTCACTAATGCTCAGGTCTCCATTTTGGCAAGAAAGAAGTACAGCTGCCCAAAAGAAAAGAAGGGAAATTCCCTTCAGCCTGGTGATCTGAATTATCCTTCTTTTGCTGTTATTTTCGAAGCTTTTAAGAAAGGAAAGACCACATTTACTTACAAGAGAACAGTAACTAATGTAGGAACTCCTAAGATTAGTTACAAGGTTTTTGTAGAGAAACCGAAAAATGTCAAGATTAGTGTTGAACCCAAGGTGTTAAGTTTTAAGAAACTTGGTGAGAAGCAAAGTTACAAGGTGAGTTTTACAGGATCAGGAGCAAATATCACAACCAGGGCAGGAATTTCGAAATTTGGATCATTGGTTTGGATGGGTGGACATTATAGTGTTAGAAGTCCTATTGCAGTTACTTGGCAGCAGTAATCTCAAGAGTTCTCTTTGTTTCCACAAATATGATTTGGGTTAACAAAATTGTTTCTGCTTAACTTAACACCTTTCAATCCTTAAATGTATTCAGACTATTTATTTGAAGGGTAAATTTGTTCTTAATGAAAATTATCTATTGATTTGTGCTTAATTTGATTTGCTTAGTAGATTGATTTGGGACAATTTTTTCTTTGTGCTTGTCACTTTGTTCAGTTTTCATGGAAGTTTAGTCTATATACCCTACTCTTTTAATTTTTACGATCCCAATATAGCACCATATTAAAGTGAGACATATGTTACTTATTGTAAAAAGTCAAAACAACGTATCTATTAAAAACGGATGAATATGATACTCATTGACTTATACTCCAGTATATATATATATATATATATATTTTTTTTACATAAAGTGTATAAAAACAAGACAATACATCTAGAATTCTTTATTAAAATAAAAAAAATGCGATAATGTGTAAATTTTCCCAAATTTTCAATAAGTACTCATTCATTGTCCACTCTTGGCTAGTTTAATCTTTCTTTGATGGCACATTTTTGTTGCTCAAGTTTATTATGACAATCTAGACAAAAACAAGTAATTACTTAATTAATAATAGTAATGTGTTTGGAAGTTTGGTGACAAAACATAATCATCCACTTACTAATGCCTAATAATTTAGGCTATAAAATAAACAAATAATGCCCTTAAATAATAATTTTGTCTTGCAGTGCATTCTTTAACTAGGTCTAAAAATTAGGGCTAGTGTAGTGGATACTGGATAGACATGATCATCCACTTTCAAATAGAGTCAAAGGAAACCTTTTTCCATTTTTTTTCTTCCACTTTGACAAGAGTAATTCTCTGTATTATTTGATATTTTACCAATTAAATTAGTTGACATCTAAAGAAAAAATTAATTCAATATTTACCTTTTAATGTTCATTGAATACTTGCCAATGAACCACTAATTGATAATTATACGTGTAAAACTATTAATGAATTTTGCCAATGAATTACCAATTGATAAAACTATTTCACGCATAAGATATTTTAGGGCATATATATAATTTACTACTCCCTACTCCATATATAATAGTTCTAGTTTAGTTAAACTTAAATTTATTGTCAATACTCATTCATGATAATTAAATAAAGTAATATATATATATATATATATATATATATATATATATATATATATATATATATATATATATATATATATATATATATATATATATATATATATATATATATATATATATATAAAACCATCTTTTGTGACTAATGTGAACTAATTATATCGTACTGTATAGTCCATTGAGATAAAATCTATTTTTTTTTTTTTTTTACGGAGTAATTTTTGTACTTTGGACTTTGAGCATTTTTGCCACATGTTAAATGAGGTCTCATTTGGATAGTGTTTTTTTTCTTTTTCTTTTGTAAACACTTTTTTCCCCTTCTTTTATAGTCTTAAGGAATTAATATTAATGCCTTTTTAGTTTAAAAAAATTAAATATCACACAAAGTAATGAAGTATGGAGTAAGTCTATTTTACCATAAGTCTACCCACTCAATACATAAAATTCCAAAGTAACTTATTGAGATTTTCAAACTAATTGAAAATTTCAATGGCTTATATGAAATGTCCAAATATTTATACACACTTATATAAAATGTCCAATAACTTATATTCGTCTCATCATGAGTCTGAATTCATCATACGTACTCTGTTAGTATATAAAATTCACCCAAATCCATAAGCCTCTGATTACTATAAGTAATAAGCTTATGGGTGTAGTTTTTAGTTGAATTTCCACCACATATCTTCTATGGGTTTGCTTTCTTCTTGTCCATACATATGGATGGCAATTTATATACTATTAAAATAAGGGGCAAATGAGTTAGGGTTACACAGTTTAGTATGATGTACATAAGATAATTTACTTTACAATACTAGTCGTACTTTAATAATTTGTATGGAGTACTTCATGCATTATGTTTCAATATAATGGTTACACTTCACTTTTTCACATTTGTCAATCTAAAATATTTAGCATAAGTGACGGTCATTGAGGAGTGTGTGAATAGTGACATAATTCATATTGTAACCATTCCATTGAAATGGAGGGAGTATAAGACAGTAATGAGCGTAATATGAGACAATCTCACCGAAGACTCGCTCAAATAGCTAAGCATCATAATGGAGCAACTTTTGTCTACTTTAGGGATAAAATTTGCTTATATATAGAGGATGCATCTAGCTAAGTTTCACATTAATATCCTATTCTTCATTTACTTGGAGCAGCAAATTTACTAAGGTAAGCAACTTTATCATATACCATCTTGGTCAAATTAGTCGTTTTCTTGCTGTCACATAATTTTGTGCACAAATTTTTTTGTACAGTATCATTTCTTATTACAGATAATAAATGTTCAGCATGTAAGAAATAATCCATATTTTTTCCTTATCATTCATAACTTATTGTGAACATGATTTTAATCTTGGATTTTCGAAAACTGATCAGGACTAATTAATCATCCTTTTGCAGCTACAAGGCCTACCAGAATGAAACCTGCCTGCAGGATATTGTTGCTGATTTTGATAGTTATATTTGCTGTAGTATGTACTGCATCGTTGTCTGACAGAAAAACATACATAATTCACATGGATAATTCTAAACTCTTGGAACTAAAGAGTGCTAACAAGCAACCCCATGAATGGTATGAAGAGATTTTACAGGTTACTAGTACAACATCAGCAGATGAAGGGGAAGAAGCATTAGTCCCAGAGCTTCTTTACACATACGAGACTACTATGACCGGGTTTTCTGCTAAACTCACCTCAGAACAGTATCAGATGTTAACTGATATTGATGGGGTACTGCACGCTGCTCCTGATCAGGTACGAAGCCTCCAAACGACATACTCACCTGATTTTCTTGGCCTAGAATTAGGCCAAACAGGGCTGTGGAATGAAAAGCCGGCGTCTGATGTCATAATAGGTGTTGTTGACACTGGAATTTGGCCCGAACATATCAGTTTTTCTGACACAGGATTGTCTCCTGTTCCATCAAGATGGAAAGGCACCTGTGAGGAAGGCACAAACTTTTCGGTTACAAACTGTAATAAGAAACTCATAGGTGCCAGGTACTTCCATAAGGGATACGAAGCAGCCTATGGAAGAATCAAAAGCACCTTAGAATTCCTGTCTGCTAGAGATTCTCGCGGTCATGGGACTCACACTGCATCCACTGCAGCAGGAACTGCAGTGCCCGGTGCTAGCTTCTTTGGAATGGCCAAGGGTATTGCCCGTGGAATGAGGTAACTTTCTAACAAAAGTGAACTATTGGAAGCATCTTCAATCATATGTATTCTCACTAATCTTTTCATGTATCTTAACAACAGTTTCACTTCAAGAATAGCAGCATACAAGGCCTGCTGGGAAGGGAATTGTGTCGACTCTGACATATTGGCTGCCATAGACCAGGCAGTAGCTGATGGAGTTGATGTTCTTTCCCTCTCCCTAGTAGGAGATGCTACACCTTATTATCAGGATAGCGCGATCATTGCAGCATTGGGTGCGTCACAAAAAGGGGTCTTTGTGGCATTTTCTGCAGGAAACTCTGGTTCTTTACCATCCACTGTTGGCAATGTTGCACCCTGGGTGATGACAGTTGCAGCCAGCTCCCTTGACCGGGGCTTCCTAGGACAAGTAAAGCTAAGTAACGGAAAGACTTTCCGTGGTGCTTCAATCTATTCCGGTAATCATAAGAAAACTAAGCAACTGCCACTAGTATACAAAGAAACAGCTGGTGTCGAAAAGACTACAGAGTACTGTCTCCCTGGATCACTATCTCCTAGCCTTGTTAAAGGCAAGATAGTCCTCTGTATGCGTGGCATCAATGACAAAACTGAAAAGGGATTTGTAGTAAAATCAGCAGGAGGAGCAGGGATGCTACTACTTAACACACCCAATTACGGCGAAGAGCTTGTTGCTGACCCTCATGTACTACCAGCCACCTTATTAGGAGCATCATCTGCCAAAGTCATCAAAGAATACTTAACACAGTACAGAAACTTAACAGCCGCGATTTCATTTCATGGTACGACATATGGAGCTAGATCCCCAAAGGTGGCTGCCTTTTCGTCTAGGGGACCGAGTCCTGTGGATCCTCACATCATCAAGCCTGACATCACTGCACCAGGAATGAACATCCTAGCTGCTTGGCCTCCAATGTCCTCCATAACTCGGTTAAGTAGTGACAAAAGACGGTCACATTTCAATATACTGTCAGGTACTTCAATGTCCTGTCCTCATGTTAGTGGCATAGCTGCTCTGATAAAATCAGTTCATACAGACTGGTCACCTGCTGCAATAAAATCAGCCATAATGACAACTGCTTACACTCGCGACAATAGAGGCCATCTCATCTCTGATCTATCTGCATCAAGCAACACCAAACACGCGACTCCTTTTGAGTTTGGTTCTGGTCATATTAACCCTGATAAGGCCTTAGACCCCGGACTTGTGTACGACATCACAGGTGATGACTACTTGCATTATTTGTGCAGTATCAATTACACTAACACTCAAGTCACTATTTTGGCAAGGAGGAAATATAGCTGCCCAAGCAACAAGGGAAAAATCGCGGTTCAGCCTGGTGATCTGAACTATCCTTCATTCGCGGTCATTTTTGATGCAGCAAAAAAAGGAAAAACTACCACATATACTTACAAGAGGACAGTGACTAATGTAGGAAGTGGTAAAATAAGTTACAAGGTATTTTTGGACCAACCTAAGGGTGTTAAGGTTAGTGTTGAGCCTAAGGTGTTACACTTTACGAAAATGGGTGAGAAACAAAGTTACAAGGTGAGTTTTACAGGAACAAGTAGCAGGAATTTTTGTTCCTTTGGTTCTTTGATTTGGGTGAGTGGAGAATATAGTGTTAGAAGTCCAATTGCAATAACTTGGCAATAAATTTGAGATAATTAATCGTTATCTCTGTATAATCATATAGTAAATGCAAAAATAAAGGAACATTTTGTTGTTTTAAATGTTACACAACATCTGATTTTGTGGTTGATTGGAATTTGTGAGTTAATTGTAGAACATTTTGCTTCCTTAAGTTTATTTCCCTTGAATATACAAGTACATAGTTTTCTACTTTTCTTTGTCGTGCAAGTAAGAAGTTTGACTTTGGAAGTTTCTACTGTGACAAGGGACAAAATTACAAATCTAGATGACCAATGAAAATTATTAGTAGTTTAATTATTATGTTTACTTTAATATATAATTTTTTTTATTTCACTTTCTTCAAAAAAAAATAAAATAAATTATTTCACTATTATTTAATGAGTTACTTATATTTGAAAATATGATTACTAGACGCAATCTACAAATAAAACACAACTTCCACAAAAATATTGGTTAGGTGAATCAAAAGGGTAGAAAATAGAAATATAGGTGTAACCAAACTCTACTTTGATTTGGTGAACCATAATAATTTCTTGGACTTATCTCAGGTGAAATCCAACTATATTTCCTCATTTAACCATTTTATTTACCATTCCCAAAAATAACATAACTCATAACTTGGCGTCTTGGCACAAAGCACACGATATTACACATTGGTACGCCCAATATTCACCATTCCTTCAAATCATTTATGCCAAAAAAAAAAAACTCAGAGTATTAAAAATAAAAGCATTTTATGTCCGATTGGCCACACTATGTAACCGTTTGTAAAAAACCAAAGTAATCTTCATGACGCTGATCAAGTAACCTTATGACACTGCCCGAGTAACCTTATAACACTGCCAATATATCCTTTGTAACATTAACGGAGAAACCTATAAATCTGAATTTGGTATACACCGTAGTCCGTACAACATTACACAAAAAAGTCAAAAACTATTTTCTTTAAAAAAAAGTCAGGACTTTTCCATGCGAAATCAAAACAGTATCTCTCTTCTTCTCCTTCCTCCCGTCTCTCTCCGCCATCATTATTCCCTCTGTTTTCATCACTCTGAAAAATCCCTTTTTATTTCTTGATCTGAATCTAAGCTCAAGCATTCATAATCTTCACTTAATTCTAATCAAATTCACAAAAAAATCCAGCAATTTGGTTGGCTTTTCCGTCGATTTTGAGGTAATGACATTCATTTCTGTTTATCAATTGCATGATCGTTTCTTGAACCCAGAATTACTTTGATAAAACCCTAGAAATCTGAGAAATTAGATTCTGCATCGTACCCTTATAATTTACAAACCCATTTTGCATAATTTTCTGGGAATTTTGTTTCATCTTGTAGTTTTGATGTATATGTATACCTAATTTGATTGAAACTTTGGAATCTGGGTTTGATTGATTGATTATGGATAATAGATATGGTTCTGGACCTCCATATCCTTATGGGTATCCACCCCCAAGTCAGCCATATCCACCACCCCAAATTTCTGAGGTTTACCCTCCACCACCACCCCACAGTTCTGAGGCATACCCTCCACCACCATCCCACAGTTCTGAGGCATACCCACCGCCACCCCACAGTTCTGAGGCATACCCACCACCACCCCACAGTTCTGAGGCATACACACCACCCCCACATTCCCATTATCCATACCCGTATTCGCAACCGGCTTACCCGTATCCATATGCGCAACCAGCTTACCCGTATCCGCCACACCCGTATTCTCAACCTAGTTACCAAGTTCCACCTCCTAGACCTTACTCATTTTCAGGTCCTCTTCCCCAAACTACTGCACCTCCACCAAGTATACAGCATAGTAGTAGTTTTCAGTATGGTTCATCTCATTACCAATATCATCCTGATTCGAGTCCTTATCCGGCCCCTAATGCCCCTCCCTTGCTTCCTTCGCGGAGTAATAGCTTTAGTAGTTCCCATGGACATGATAATGTAGTGAGTGAGTTGCCGGATAGTAGTGGGGTTGGTGTTGGTAGTAGGCCTTCCAATGCTTCGATATACCCTCCTTTGGACGATCTAATGTCGGGTATGCGATTGTCTGATGTTCGCCCGTCTGCCCCTGCCTCACCTCCTGCACCTTCTGTGCCTTCGATGGATAGTTTAGCTTTAACAACCCCTGCAAGTCCTGGTGGAGAGTTTGGTCATCATGGCAGCTTGCATGGGATACATGCTAGAAGTCCTAGTTGGGATAGTTGTTTTTCTTGTGTTGGTTCTCCAAGTTCTTCTAGTTTTGAGAGCGAAGGTATGCAGATTGTGCCCTCACAAAAAGGGTCTTTGAAAGTGTTGCTCTTGCATGGAAATTTGGATATATGGGTTTACAAGGCAAAAAATCTTCCGAACATGGACATGTTTCATAGAACGCTGGGTGATATGTTTGGAAGATTACCTGGGAATGTAACCAATAAAATTGAGGGCCATGTATCTCGCAAGATTACTAGTGATCCGTATGTGTCAATAACAGTATCCCACAGTGCTGTAATTGGGAGGACTTATGTGATCAGTAACGAAGAGAATCCTGTGTGGATGCAGCACTTCATTGTTCCGGTGGCACATTATGCTGCTGAAGTGCATTTCTTGGTCAAGGATAGTGATGTTGTAGGATCCCAACTCATAGGAAGTGTATCGATTCCTGTGGAACAATTGTATTTAGGGGCAAAAGTTGAGGGTACATATCCTATCCTTAATGCTAGTGGGAAGCAATGTAAGGCCGGAGCTGTCTTGAGCATTTCCATTCAATATACACCCATCAAGAATCTAAGTTCTTACCACCATGGAGTTGGTGCTGGCCCTGATTATCAAGGGGTTCCTAACACTTACTTTCCTCTTAGGAAAGGAGGAACAGTTTGTCTTTATCAGGATGCTCATGTTCCTGATGGCTGCCTTCCAGAATTTATGCTTGATCAAGGAATGAAGTATGTGCATGGAAAGTGTTGGCAAGACATATTTGATGCTATACGACAAGCAAGAAGGCTTGTTTACATTACAGGGTGGTCAGTTTGGCATAAGGTTAGATTAGTTCGTGATGGTGGAAATCATTCATCGGACTGCAGCCTGGGAGAGCTTCTTAGGTCCAAATCAGCAGAAGGAGTGAGAGTTCTGCTTCTTGTGTGGGATGATCCTACTTCAAGAAGTATATTGGGTTATAAAACGGTCAGTGGCTTCTCCCAACTTCACTCTTTAATCATATATATCCTTTTAGTCTGATTTCTATCTTCTAAAATCTGTATGTAGTGGGCTTAATAGCAGATTTATGATTCGTTTGTTATCCAAATACCACTAATGATATTTTAGTAGGCATACTTTCTTGCAATTTTATGCTTGTTAATGTGTTCCTGAGTACTATTTCCATATCTTATGTATCTCTAATAGTACAGGATGGAATTATGGCAACCCATGATGAGGAGACTCGTCGTTTCTTTAAGCATTCATCAGTGCAGGTGCTATTATGTCCTCGCGTTGGTGGAAAACGACACAGCTGGGTCAAACAAAGGGTAAATGCTACGTTCTTGGTTTTGTGGTTATGATGTTTGTGATGAAAATTTGTTTATTCTTTGGCCTGATAGTTGGCTCTGTCAGAATACATTGTTATTATTTTGAGTGTTGGAATATCATTGAGTTTGTATTGGTCATGTCTCCTGGGTGCCCTTTTTTTTTCTGTTTTTGGGACAATGCCATAGTCTATGCTGTTTGGACTCTATTTCCACCTGCAAACACTTGTGTCAATTAGGAACATTGAGAGTGCATTTTAGAAGAACTAAGAAAAAGAATATGGGAATTTAGGCACAAGTATAACTATTTCTCAGTTGAAATTAAATACAGGAAAAAGACACTAAAAGGTTGAATCCAGTCAGTCCTTTGGTAACATAAGTAAACCAACAATGACAGTCACCACCTGAGTCCATGCATGTATGTAACAGTCAATTTAAAGATTATGCTTTCCATTCTTTAATGGTTCTTGCAGTATTTTTCGACTACCATATTAACTTGGATCAATTTACTTTTTACTATTTGCGCCTGACGTCTAGGACCCACCTAGTGGCAACTAAACTGAAACACCTATCACATTCTGTACTTGTAGTGTTTAAATTCTGAATTTAGTGCTGCACTTCTGCTTGCCAACCGGGTGAAGCTCATTTTATTAGGTGGCTTATTTTGTTGAGAAATGGGAAGTGGATATTTGTATTTTAACCAACAGCACAATCTGGAATCAGCATCTTTTTTTACTTTTGTGGCAGAATTAAATAGGCTTGTTCAGGCCCATTTTTACTAGATTGTTATGGTTTTCCTATCTAATATTTTCTATTTCCTCTAAAATTTTATGTATGAATTCAGTCTGAATATGCTGGTTTGTGTTTTCTTTTAGGAAGTTTCAACAATTTATACCCACCACCAGAAAACTGTGATAGTTGATGCTGATGCTGGCAATAATAGAAGAAAAATTGTTTCTTTTGTTGGCGGGCTTGATTTATGTGATGGGAGATATGACACTCCAGTCCATCCTCTGTTCAGAACCCAGGATACAGTACACAAAGATGACTATCACAACCCTTCATTCCAAGTAATTCTTAATAACTTCTCCATTTTTTATTGCTATACGGTCACTGGTTGCTATTAAGCAGAAGACATAATGTCTGTTACGGCTGTAGATAAATTATGATGTGCTAAATGTTATATAGTAAAACACATATATCATAACAGGAGATGAAGAAAAAATAAGAGATTTTTGAACTTGCAATGAAATAACTTTTTTTTTTTTAGTATACCAAAGGGGAACAGAAGATTGGCATTTTGATGGGTTGAGGTTATGCGAGTTTCATCTCTAAATTTTGTATAAAATTGGTGTGCTTTAATGTGTTTTCTTGTGAAACTTTTGGACAGGGCAATACCACTGGCTGCCCAAGAGAACCGTGGCATGATTTGCATTGTAAAATTGATGGGCCTGCAGCATATGATATTCTTACCAACTTCCAACAACGATGGTTAAAAGCTTCTAAAGCACATGGGATCAAAAAGTTAAAAATGCCTAGTGATGATTCATTACTGTTAATTGAACGCTTGCCTGACATAGTTGGTATATCTGATGTTCCTTGCCTTAGTG